GTAATATCTTTTAGTAAATGAGAATTTAATTATATGTTAAATTCTAATATAGATACATAGATTCATTTGTGAATACTCTTCTTCCACTGTGGCCAGTAGCTTTTTTTCTATATTTTTCATCTAATTTTATCTAGTAGAGCCAGTGACCCATCTTTACTCATTTCTGTTTTGAGAGGGATTCCTCATCATTTTCTTGCATATTTTTTATTCCAATGAACTTTAGAATGATTTTGTCATGTTCCACGTTTTTAAGATTCTATAGGGATTTTGAGTGGGGCTGTAATTAATTTAGACATGAATTTAGGAAAAACAATTACATTTCTCAAATACTGAGCTTCTCTATGTCAGAATAAGTCACATTGATTCCCATTTTAACCTTATTTTACATATCTTAGTCAAATGTTATAGTTTTTCTAGTCAGGTTCAACAAATTTATCATCAGGTTTAGTTTTTAGTGTTATATGCTGTTATTGCCATTGGAGATAGAATCATTTATTTTTTTGTGTGTTTCCTATCCAGTAATACTAATAGAAACAGTAACAATAATACATAGTAATAATTATATATACTTCACACTAGTAAATCAAGTATTAATACTCTCTAAATGTATTTCCAATTACACAGTATATAATTTATCATCATTCAATGAATATATTTTGGATAAACACAAATACCAGGCAGTATGTTAGATCCTTATAAACAGCCCCTGCCCTTGTAACAATGAATAGAGAAGACTGACACTAACTGAATAATCATACAACTGTATAAAGCATTGTAGTTGTGCTACAAGGAAAAGTACAGAGTGCCAAGAGAATTTATAACAGGGACTTTATTTAACCAGGGTGATAGTGAAGGGTGAGGATGTATCTAAACAGAATCTAAAAGATGAGTACAAGTAAACTGAGCAGAAGGAATACATATCCAATTAGATTTTGACAGGCTGGGGAATCAGCCTTTCAGGAAATGGACATAAATCCATTGTGTGTGGAGCAGAGAGTAAGGCTGATAGTGGCAACATGAAGCTTCAAAAGTCAGGTGTCAGGTCATGGAAGAGTCTCAGAGTTTAAGGATTTTTATCTTTATCCTAAACGTTTCTACTAAAGTTTTTTTAAGGGGTGTGTGTGTGTGTGTGTGTGCATGCACGCATGCACGTTGGAAGGAGCAAGGGAGAATGAAGTGACATATTCAGATCAGTATTTCAAATTGACCATTCTGGCTCTTTGGGAAGAATGGATCAGAAAAACACAACAATGAATACCTGAAAACCTATTGGAAGGCTATTGAAGGAGCCCAGGTGAGAGATAATGATAATGTGGACTAGCATAGTGGCAGGGGACGCAGAGAGAATATGGTTTTAAGAAACATTAGGCTGACTTAAAAAAAATACAAAAGCACCAGTTATTTTACTCAAAATGAGTTTATTTGGAAATAGCAGAGGAATTGCAATTCGGAACCAGCAAACTACTGTGAACCCATAAGCCATAGCAAGTCTGGAGTCTTGTTTTTATAGCTGAAGGGAGGAAGCTGGGAGGGACTGTTTCACTGAATTCTCATTGGTTGTGCTGTTGCTAGGCAAAGAGAAATTCTTCCTTCCACCTGCTGGGGTACATAAATTATGCTTCTTTCCTGCTGGGAAATTCAAGATATACTTCTTACAACAAGTGGTAGTTTGTAAGAGCTCTCCCTTCAGGGCTTCCCAACTCTGTTATAAATTAAGTTTCCTTTATTTTCACAAGGCAAAATTGAAAATACTGAGCAATGCCAGAATTCTGGCTTGGTGAGGGAGGGAGGTGACAAGAACAACTCCCAGGTTTCTAGCCTGACTAAATGGATGGATGATGAGGCTATTGTCTGAGATAGGGAACACAGAATATAAAACCAGCTTTGAGATAGAAATATCAAGAATTTTTTTTTAAGATGCTGAGCTACAAGTACTTCTGAACACTGAATGAAGATGGTGAGTTAAACATTTATGTATGCATTTCTCGAACTCCAAGGGATTTGTGCTGTGTATATGCATTTTGGAGCTACTGACACATGGTAATTAAAACTGTGGGCATAGATAATGGCCAGTGATGACAGAATATTGTGTGTGAAGGTAAAGAGAAAAAGACTGATCCTTGGGGAATGCCAACAATTAAATTTGGATAAAATGATGCAAAATGGGAAGAAAAGCTGTTCTTGGGTAATCCAGCCATTTGATTAAAAAAAAATCAGCTTATGGACATGCCTTGTGCTCCACAGGCTTTTGGTTGTCATGTGGTATCATTGCCTTGGTTTACCATTGTTGGAACTCTGCCCTCAAAATTACATTTTAAGAGATTATTCTTAGTCTTTCCTGAAATCTTCATAATTTCAAAGAAAAATGTTATTTTAAGATGCTCTTTTCCATGGTGGGATAGGGACTCTGAGGTAGTTCTAATCAGTGTTATTTTTCTCCTCCAGTATTTTCTTGCATCTGCTTTCTGCCATATAACACCACTCTATTGAGAAGGAATTTTGACTATAATTTCTCTGAATCTCTTTTCAATTGGGAATAAATTATTCAACTTGGCCATAATTTAACACATTTTATGAGTTTGAGACTTTTTCAGCACTTTATGCTTTCTTTGCTATTTTTTTTTCATTTCTGTTAATTAGGCAAATTTTCACTTGTATTTTTAATAAATTAATATTAAATTAATGTCACCATCCTCCCTAGCTATAGATTAGTTCACTTTTGATCATGTAGAGTTTGAAATATCATTTGGAAAGGTAAAGAGGTCCATGAGTCTAGTGGGACCTATTGATCTAGAACTCAGACAAGTAATTTGAGGGCTTTTGGAATTGTCTGGGGCAAACTTTTATTCCTGAGCTCCAAATAAGAGCTGGTATTTCTATAGCTAGAGATTATTTAGTGTTTTTGACTTAAGAGAATCACCACATATTTCTGGTTTATCTATCTAAACTTGTATAAGCTTTATAGGTTGTATTTGAAGGAAGTTTTAATACAAACAAAACTCACAAATGTCCTTAGGTATATAAATATTCAAATGTAAGATGTAGAGCTCAAATAATAACCAACTTGGGGAAAAATAAAGTTGTGAAATAAATACTGAAAATAAAACTCTGAAAACATTTAGGCTAAATTCATATGTGTTATACTTTGAAACAGACATTTTATTATCACAGTTTATTCAACCATGAAAAACCAGTTGCATTTCTCTTTTTATCAATAATACTACCCGAGATTTTTAAGGGCAAAGACAGTGATAATTAGTGTCGTGTTGCCTTTGGGGGTGATTTTAAAATTGATTTTCATTTCTAAGCCAGTATGTACACAATGGGAGGTATTTGTTGTTTTATCCTTTAAATAAATGGCAAGTAAAGAATACCATAACACTTTACTTTTCACTATTGGAAATAAAATGGATCTAATATGTTCAAAGGAATTTCACAAAACGAAAACCATTGACATGACAAAAGCGTGCATTTAATTTGATGCTTTGCAGAGATACATGACTAAAGTTGCGTGCATGGCTTGTCCTTTGGGATGGTCCCAGCTGTTTATTTTTAAAGAAAAAATAAAAATGGAGCTAACAAATGCATTTAAGGGGGGAAAAAACCTTGAGACACAAGGGCACCTACATGTTCTGGTCTAAGAAACATGCAAGTATCACAAAACATTCCAGATACAGTATGACAGATGAACAATGAAAAGGCACTGGAACAATGCTCCTTCTTTCAGAAATGGGAAGTCTAACAGTTATTTTTTCACAAATGGTATTGGTGAAACCATCTTTATTTTTAAAAAATTTTATAAAAGGAATTTTAGCACCATCATTAGAGGAAAAATAATAATACATTTTAGCCCTGCCTATCTCCAGTCTTGGAATAATAACAGAAGCATAGCACCTTTTAGTATCTAAAATATAAACAAGAATAGTAAGTCCATCCCAGCTTCTAGAGATGAGGTAGCTCATGCTAAGAAATGTTGGGTCACTTTTCCTATGAGAGTTCAAAGGCCAAATGTTCTACTTCCAATCATCACATTTGATTAGAGTCAGCTCCACCACTTGAGTTTCTAAATCTTTTTCTTCATTATAGCCTTCAGGATGATGAGATTGTACATGTGGAAGACTCTCGACTTTGGGTCCTGGACATATGTTTATAAAGTTGTACATGTAAATTATTTTTCATTCAATGTCTTCTTAAACAAGAAAGTGCAAATGTATTCAATGGTATATTCATGGTAACTTCTATCTATATTGATAGACTGAGTCAAGAGGGAAAGGTACCTTCAAATTTGAATGAGAAAAAGTCTGAACTTACCACCCTTTACAAAAATTTCAGATCACTTTGTTTTCCAGAAATTCCAATGAATGTATAGTATTTAAAAATTCCATTTAATACAGTGAGAAATTGATGGGGTTTTTTTCAAGTTCTCTTTGAAGAGTCCCTATGGTAGTTACACAATCTCTAGACATGCATGTGGGTTTCAATCACAAGGGTAAACATTCTGATTTCATTTTTAATTGATAATTTGGGAATGAGAGGTCACAAAAGGGCACTACTTTGTATTTTTCAAACTACAGTCAAGTGAAACAAACATGTGTTGTGGTTTTACATACCCCACTCTTTAAGCTACCTGCCAGGAAGAATTTTCTCATAAATACTAAGCAACTTTGTCATTACATTGAAATAAATTGAAGAAAACGGAGATTCATTTTATTCAATCAGTTTACTTTTTTAAAAGGTGGTCAATGTCATTGGTCGTCTTAAACCTAAACTGCTGTATTGAAAAATATTTTAAATCAATTAAAACTTGAGGATTGTAAGTAAAATAAATATTCTGAAGGATAAGGAGGCCAGGCACTTAAGACCATATATACAATGCTGATGCAGGATCAGCCATTACTTCAAGAGTCTCAGGATCAGCTTCAAACAGTCAAAATTCTTGTGAATGGTGGTGGTCATTGATGGCGGGGGTGGTGCTCATTGTCGATGTATCTTGGCTTGCTTTACACAAAACAAACTGGCCCAATTTCAATGCCAAATTCTTGGTCTGTGCTGCCAACATCCACAGGGGCAAGATCTATGATGGGCAAGCGTGCCACATTCTGTGTTCTATATTCAAAGATGGTCTTGCCCACATTTCCATTTCGTTTCTAGAATTAAATGGTGCAACAGGTTAATAGTATATACAAATTATTCCAAAGATGTTAGGCATAAACTTCCAAGCCAAACTTGATAATGTGAAAGCAATTTCTTTTAGTGCACTACTTGAAATTAAGAGCACTGTTAATATCAAGCTGTACTGGCATAGCTGGAGGCATTTCTTACATACTTTAAATTGAGAAAATCCCTTTTGTTCTTTTGCAGCTTCCCAAATGGTCACTAACAACATAAACTGTGAAAGCCTTTTTTGCTTTTCACAAATGAAATAATTCACCATGAAATATTTTCCTTTTTTATATCTATATATACAAATGGGGAGACATACAAATCAGTGAAAAATACAAGGAGTATCTCAGATTGATTATCTGTTTTAGAATCAAGGAATTTTAAGCATGTAACTGAGCTGAAATAAAGTGACTTGCAGGAGAACCAAAGTGAGTTTGCAGAAGAGCTGGGTTGAATCCCAAGGATCCAGTCCTTTGTTAATTATCGTATTAAAACTTCTACCATGCTTCATGTACTAATACACATTCACATTTATGCTAAAGAGTATAAGTGAAGCTATACTAAGCTTCACTAAGCTATACTATACTATTCACTATAGGTATACTAAGCTATAAAAAGTATAAGTGAAGCTATTATGCATAATCATATACTGGGTAAAATTGCCCCCACTTCTGCCAATGCAGCATTTTTAACAAAATACATTTTTAGTCAACCAGATCAATATATAGATTAAAAGTACTTACAGAGCAAGTATCTTGAAGAACTATGTATCTGAATCTAACATTTCCCTCTGCTTTGATTTCCAAGTCATTTGACCCTTTGAGAACCACAGCTTTCTTGAGGTTTTTGGCTTGATCATCCATGTATCCTACACTGTTTTTACAGATGTAAGTAATGTTCTGGGAAGCTTCTTTTGATAAAAGGCGCAAGAAGGTCATTTGAGTAATGGCTGCATTAGGTGACCGATGGTCTCCATAAACAAACTAGAGAAACAAAGAGTCTTTGTTATAGGAAACACTGAAAGGTTTTAATAAGTGCTGTGTGTGTGTGTGTGTCTGTGTGTGTGTGTGTGTGTCTGTGTGTGTGTCTGCGTGTCTGTGTGCATGTGTGATTTCAGACATCAATTTCGAAGAGTATTACTTTTATTCTTTCATATAACAACATACTCTACCTATATATAAAAATATTTTAAAACTTCTATGAATACTCACAAGGGAGAACCTCTGTCTTTATTACCCCAAACAAAAGGTAATGAAATCAATGACAATTACAACTCACTAGAGAAAATATAAGTATTTTAGAAATCTGCTTCTGTTTAAAAAAATCTTGCGTATTGCTTTTTAGCAGTTATACCTGAGCACTAGCTCAATCATGTATCAAAAATAACTCACTGTCCTTATTGCTAATTATAATAAGAATTGGAACTTAATTCTTTAAACCCACTGTTACATACTTACAGGAAATATGAATTACAAGCTTTCTATCAGCTAACAAAAACAGATAATCAAAACAATTTGAAACATAAAGAACCTTCTTTTCTGCTCCTCTTTTAAGCTCTATTTTCACTGCTCCTATTTAAGCCTTTTACATAGTATATTGACTAAATTACATTTCAATTGGGTGTATTTAAATGTTAAAATTTCCTACCCATTAAATAATTGTAGATTCTAGTATATTCTGTACACACTCATTATGTGTGTACACACTCAATATCTCATTATGTTTACTAGTAACATGAATTCTGAGGAAAGGTCAGAAGCAGAGTTGAGAAGAAAGTTTCAGAGTTAGGCTGCCATAAAGAGATCCAGAATGAAATATTCTTATTATAATAGGAAATGGCAAGGCTGGTTGAGAATCTAAATACAGGACCATGAAAGAAACATAAAGGAAAAATATTAATAAATTCATATGCAGTTGACCACGAATAATATGGGTTTGAACTGCATGGGTCCACTTACACATAGAATTTTTTCAACATACACAGTACAGTGCTGTGAATGTATTTTCTCCTCCTCCTGAGTTACATTTTCTTTTCTCTAGCTTACTTTATTGTGAGAATAGAGTATATAATCCATATAACATACAAAATATGTGTTGATCAACTGTTTATGTTATTGGTAAGTCTTCCAGTCAACAGTAGGCAATTAGTTGTTAAGTTTTGGGGGACTCAAAAGTTGTATGCAGATTTCTGACTGCACAGATTTTTGACTGGTTTTTGTCCCTAACCCCTGTGTTGTTCAAGGTTCAAGTGTAATTACAAAGACACCTTAAGTTTAAATAATACTACAAAGCTTACAAAGTGATTTAATTATTAAAAATACTATTACAGTGATTATCTAATATTTATTTATAGCTTATCATGTACCAGATATACACAGAGACTGCAATATATTATCACTTTCACTTTAAAATTGCAAAACTGGGGGCACCTGGGTGGCTCAGTCAGTTAAGTGGCTGACTTCGACTCAGGTCATGATCTCACAGTTTATGAGTTTGAGCCCAAGTTGGGCTCTGTGCTGACAGCTCAGAGCCTGGAGCCTGCTCCGGATTCTGTGTCTCCCTGTCTCTCTCTCCTCCCTTCCCCAGCTTGTGCTCTCTCTCTCTCTCTTTCAAAAATAAATGAACATATAAAAAAAATAAAATAAAATAAAATAAAATAAAATAAAATAAAATGGCAAAACTGGGGCACCTGGTGGCTCAGTAGGATGAGCAACCAAGTCTTAATTTCGGCTCAGGTTATGATCTTATGGTTCATAAGATCAAGCCCTGTGCTGCGCTGTGAGCATGGAGGGATTCTTTCTCCCTCTCTCTCTCTTCCCCTCCCCGTTCATCCTCTGTGTCTCTCACAAAATAAATAAATAAAACTTTTTTAAAAATGCTAGAACAAGGCCCCAAAAGGTTAAGTGACTTCCTGAGGTCACAATGTCAGCAAGAGATGCAGGTACTTGTCACCAAGGTCTTCTGACACTAAGGATAATCCCTGTCTTTCAACTGAAAGATCCCTTTAGATATACTCCACAATCAGTGTCACATGCATTAAAGGAACTAATATTAAAAATAGTTACTTTTCCACATTCCATGCAAAATTTGTCATGCAAAATTTATGTTAATATAATTTATAGCAAAATTTGTTTATGCAATAATAAATTTGGTCAAAAATAATAGCATAATCCTAAATAAAGAAAGTACAATAAATAATGAAAAGCAAAGAATACAATTTTAAGTAAGCATATTAAATTACCTGAGATCCTCTATTCATATCAAGACCATACCAAATAGGCTTATGGTCAGAAGATTTGCTGGCCCACCAGGTTTTACGAGGCACACTGGATGGGTTTGCTGAAATACATGTTTCTCCTGTTTCCATGTTGCAGTAAACTTTGATTGCATCTTCAGCAGATCCCTGGTTAGGATCAATCCAGTACTCGCCTATTTTCCAAAATAAAAATATTTGCCACATAAAGAGAATTTCAAGCATGATTATGAGTCTCTAGAAGAATTAACAGAGGGTTTGAAAATATGAATTCACTGATTAAGGACTTTTTTAAGAGAGAGTATCTCAGTTAAGAAAATACTCTGCAGTTAAGGAAAAAGTAACTGGTACACATTTGAGTCCTTTCTACACAGGAAGCACTGTTCTAAGGCACTTTGCCAAATCATGTGCTAAAGGCTCAACATATACATGGGAAGGAAATATCATAATCCTCATTTTATAAATGAGAAACCTCTGCCAAAAAGAGATAATCTGCCATAATTAAGTGGCTTTGCCAAAATGGATGTGTTCTCATGAAATTTATAAGGATAATATTTTAAAGCAAACTATAATTGGAATGTAATAAAATAACATATTGTCAAAACTATGAATAAAATAAGTAAATGAGTTGAAATACAATTAGAATGCTATAAATTATCTCTGTAACTACATGAAAATGGATCAATAGAATATGTCCTCTTTTGTAATACTTATCATCTTATCTTATAATTTTTCATGTCACTGACTGTCCCCACCACTAACGCATAAATTCTGTGATGTTTGCCATTTTGCCTTTTGTGTCTGTCTCTAAGTAGAGAGTCAATCAAATATTTTGGGATGCAGTCAAGAACACAATGGGAAACAATGGACTTTGCTCAAACGGGCACGTGTGTACTCACCGCTCTGCTTTGCAGAATGGCAAAGCTTTAAATCATCACAAGTCCGGGCTGGATGCTTTTTAGAGCCATCAGGGCTGCGCATAGTTTCAATCTGACTACTGAGTGACTTCAGGGTAGCATGGACCCCTGGGTCAGTTTTGTTTTTGTCATCAGGAGCCGCCTGATCTTCAGTAAACTCTGGAAGTGGATCTGGCATGCTCTCATCGTAGTGACCCATGATATCCCCAAGAGCAGCGGTAAGGTGGCCGGGGGGACCCGGGGGACCAGGTGGACCAGGCTCACCAGGAGGACCCTAATTTTTAAAAAACATCAGAAATACAGTTAATATGTTTTTTTTGGTTTTTGTTTTTCAGCTGGACACAATGGCACTGATGGGACTTGGTGCATAGGGAGTTACACGGCTATACTGCAGTCTGATGGCACTGACCGATCTATGACCTCATGACCTTTTAATAAAACTAGATGGCTCTGGCCTGCCAACCTCTAACTTCCTAAGGATGAGAAATGATGTGTAACTTTTATCAGACAACATTATCTGCAAGTCAGCATCTGAGATCAATAAAAATCAAAGTGCAAAACATTTGCTCTTAAAGATAACAATATATTTTGTGTTAAGAATGTATAGATATGTATATTCATTTCCACACTATTTGGGGCAAAGCACAACTAAAACGTTTTAAAAGGATTTATGGACACAAACTGGAAAAGGAGATGTAAAAGAGTTGTGGGTGCTAGTTCTTTAAGACCTCACATCTCTATCAAGGACATACCCACAAGAAACACTCAGAGAAGAATTCTCCCCGTCTACCAATTACAGGGGAAAGTATAGAAAGTCTTTTTATGTGCATTAATTGGTGTGTAGATCAAAATCCTCTGTACTAAACAAAACTGGAGGAAGTTCTCCTTAGCCTTTTTATCAACAAAAGTAAACAGCTCTCTCTTTCTCTCTCTCTCTTTTTTTTTTTTTTTTTTTTTAAATAAGAACTATGTATTGAAATTCTAGTGGGAGATAAAACTTCAAAAGGTTCAAGCGAGTGGATCTGCAGCATCAAATCTTTTCTGCAATTTCCTAAGGAAGAGCTCAGTGACTTGAGAGAATCAGCTGACAAGATATGGCCATATGTCTCTCAGAATTTCAGTCACTAGCAGTCAGAAGGCAGGAGCTCTGTTTTATATACCACTCAAATCAAAGAAACAGGACCAGGTCACTTCACTATTCAATTACCAACCTACTTCAAATATCAACAGAACTGAATGTAATGGTTTTTCTTTCTTCTGCTTTTTTTTTTCCCCAATGGGTCATATATCATGATTCTAAATTTCCTTCTGATAATGAAGGAAGAAGTTTTTAGTTTTGTTCTTTACATTTTGTTTTGTTTGTATTTTTTTTTTTTTTTATTAAGGACTGCTGACCCACAGAATAAAGTCAAACAAGAGCCACATAAGTCAGAGGTATTCCAAATCTGTAGCTGTTCTCCATGCACAGAGAAATAAATAGGAAATATTCCTCTTGACCATAGAAAAAAATAAGGCTATTCCATTCATATAATAAATAATAAATATTTAATTTAATGATAATACCAGTAAAGGGAAGAGACAGGATAAGGAGGGAAAGGTAAATAAGACCAGAGAGGAAGAAACACCAGAGAGGGATGCAAAACTCGTATACATACATGCACACACATATACATGCGCATGGCAGATATATGAGGATGTTTCCCGAATTCCTGCTGTTTCCCAACTTCATATTGTTGGAAATTTTCTCAAAAAAGTTTTAATTTAGGGGCGCCTGGGTGGCGCAGTCGGTTGAGCGTCCGACTTCAGCCAGGTCACGATCTCGCGGTCTGTGAGTTTGAGCCCCGCGTCGGGCTCTGAGCTGATGGCTCAGAGCCTGGAGCCTGTTTCCGATTCTGTGTCTCCCTCTCTCTCTGCCCCTCCCCCGTTCATGCTCTGTCTCTCTCTGTCCCAAAAATAAATAAACGTTGAAAAAAAATTTAAAAAAAAAAGTTTTAATTTAAATCCTTTCTAAATGTCATTTTCAATAGAGAAAAACTTTAATTTCATACTTTCCCCTTTCTAACATTTCCATGAATGACTATATTTATCAAATCTCACATTTAGCATATTGCCATTGAAAGCAAAGCAACATTTTCATAATTTTAATTATAATTGCTCTTTTCTCTCCTTGATGTCACATGAAGTCAAGTTACATTTGGTAGCTTGGACTCTAATTTTACATACTCTGAATAATCGGTATTAAAATATTTGAGTTATTTAGACAAGCTCTTGTGTGACTTTTAGGTTTGTTTTCAGAGTTCCTTAAATCTCTCATCCATCATGCTGCACAGATGTTCCCTGGATAGAATCTAAGTGATGGGAACCAATAGCATCACCTGCATGCAAACCCCTGTGATTACCTCAGGTCCTGCTTCTCCGACACTGCCCCGCACACCAGGAGGCCCTATAGGCCCCAGTGGCCCAGGGTTTCCTTCTTTACCTGAAGGACCAACTGGGCCTGGAGGACCCTGCCAGAAACAAAGACTGTATTTTAGATTCTATGAAGAAAACGTTTACAATGACCATCTAATCAAAGAATTATTTTCCTTATGGAGTTGTCACAAAGGTTTCTCATGCATATTCCTAATGACTAGTCAATAGAGTTCTGGCTCTCTAATGTTCCCTGTTTCATCATACATGAACTCTCCATCATACAAGCTGCTCAAAGCATTCAGCTTTGGTTTTAACCAGCATTCAGTTAAAAACTTTAATGGACTGGTTATCTACTTTTTTTAGAAGAAGGCTGTTTCATCAAATCTCATATATTGGAAAGTAAATTAAAAACTTAATTAACTTAGGACTAAGAAAATGACAGAAGTTATAGGGATTGATATAAGTTAAATTTGTGTGTATCCCCCAGGATCTCATCACATCTCAGTGTTATGTATGATTTGTTTACACTGTATTTAGACATAGCAGAAATTCTTTCCAATGATTTTTTAAAATAATTATGTATCAATTGTCTTATGACATTAATTGGAGGCATATTGGAGGCCTATTGGAGGCAGGATTAACACTAATGTAGAATTTTTAAAAGCTTCAAATATTGGTTTCATTTTATGATTTGCTTCCAAATTAGGCTTATGCAAACTCATACTTTCTGGGAAAGTATCTCACTTACTAAAGAAAAAAAACATATCCAGCCTCAAAATCTGTTTCTACTTCATGGTAAGTCCTATTATATATTCTCAAAGAGTACAAATGTAATGGAAATTTCTATGAACACAGAGTAAGAAAATGAAGTAACAGATGAGTATATGCACACTAGGTACTTCATGGTTCCATGAAGTAATATGTCATATTTCAGAATATTTCTACATAAAGGTAATTGCTGAATGGTTTGTCTCATGTATTTGCTTCCAACTGCAGACAGCCTGGGCCTGACTCCTGCTTCAATGCCATGAAAATGATACTGAAGCCCAGGCATTTTGTTACCAAAGCATTATTATTTACATCAGCAACCTACTAGGTTTCGTTACTTACTCTAGGGCCAAATGGTCCAGGAATTCCAGCACTGCCTTGTTCACCATTTGGACCCTAAGTAGGAAAAAGCAAAAAATGTTGCCAAAATATTTACACCTACATTTTGCCATTCTCAGCTTTTAAAAATGTGCTCTCATTGACTTTAGCAGCATACGCTAATTTCTTAAAGTCTTCAACCTCTATGATGTATACATAAGTTGACTAACACTAAACTGTAGGAGTAAGGGAACATATATCCTGACATATATACATATTGGCAAATTATAATGGGCAACTGGGTAATTAAATATTCATCAAGATATGCTTCAAAATGAAAATAAGATACAAAAAGTCCAACCATTTTATAGACAAATAAATATTCATGTCAAGATACCTGTGTATTTTCATATAGCAGGCAAATAATACTTCAAGGAATAACTTACGGGAGGTCCAGGAAGACCTTGAAGACCAGTGAAACCTCTGTGACCCTTCTGACCTCGGTCACCTCGGTCTCCATGATCACCTTTGTCACCTCGAGGTCCTTGAGGTCCCTAGAAATAGGGTCATGGAATGGATATTGGTTGTTAAGATTACAATTTACTACCATTTTAATTTTTACAATTGTATTTAGTACAATCTTGCAGTAGTCCCCCCTTATCTATGGGGGATAAGTCCTACGATCCACAGTGGATACCTGAGCACTATATATACTATATTTGTTCCTATACATACATACCTATGATAAAATTTAATTTATAAATTAGGCACGAATTAAGAGATTAACGATAACTAATAATAAAATAGAACAATTACAACAATATACTATAATAACAGTTATATGAATGTGGTCTTTCTGTCTCAAAATATCTTATTATACTATATTTGCTGTTCTTCCTGTGATAATGTGAGATGATAAAATGCCTATGTGATGAGATGAGCCAGGTGAATGATGTAGGCATTGTGACGTAGTGTTAGGCTGCTATTGACTGACCTTCTGATAATATGTCAGGAGGATTAATTACTTCCTGACTGCAGTTAACTATGGGTAACTGAAAACCGACAGAGCAAAATAGGGGAGGAGGGACTACTGTATGAACTAACATAGTTACTTATAGAATTAGACCTAGAAGTTTTTGTCCTTTTTTCTCAAACAATGAAGGTGATCGCTAAAAACATAAGATATATAATACTGCTTTCCTAATGATTCAGTTTTTTCAATGTTTATCCTGCATTACACTAAAATGATGTATTTTTAAAAAATTTAATGTTTATTTTATTTTTTAGGGAGAGAGAGACAGAGTGCGAGCCAGGGAGGGGCAGCAAGAGAGGGAGACACAGAATCCAAAGCAGGCTCCAGGCTCTGAACTGTCAGCACAGAGCTGGGCTGAGAAGCTGTGCCTAGAGAAGAGGTGGGAATGAACAGATCAGTCTGATCAGTCTTGGGCTGCCCTTTTATTTGATTGTTTTTGTTTGTTTGTTTGTTTTTTAAGTCTTAGGAAATAGAAGCAGCTCCAGGGGTCCAGTGGTTCATGGTAAATGGCCAAGAAGCATAGGGTCACGTACTATATAGCAACAGCTTCGGCTCTCTTTAGTTTTCCTAAAGACCATTCAAAGTGTCAGTCTGACTTCAGAGAATGAAAAATATCATCAAATAGACTGGCTCTCAGGTTAATTTTTCTCTGAATATTTCTTGTTCTTATTTTTTTGGTTCTCTCCCCCCCACTTTTTTAAATGTGTACATCCTAATTGTCAAACAGTATGTGAATCTTTTTATAATAAAATTAGTTCTCAGTTACTTTTACATAGTCTATATAACAATACAAATTTAAATACTAAAATCAGCCTGAATGCTTTCATGTTAGAGAGGTTCTTTTATTTTGGGAATGCCCTAAAATTTTTAAAATGAAAATAAACTAAACCAGAAAACACCTACTTAAATTATTAGCTAAAATTCATTTAATCATGAAAAATAAATCACATTGTTTTTGTAACTAGTTAGAAAATCGTTCACTTGACATGCTATGTAACTATGAAATTTCCAGTCAGGCTCAAATCAAAGCTGAGAAATATGAGTTAATAACAGATCATGAATTTAGTCTATAATTTTTCTTCATCGATATAGAGATTAATTCATATAATGAGTGTCAAAGGCACATGGCTTATTAGACTGCCCATCAGACATGATTCATTCATTGTAAAACATTTATATAATAATCATTAACCCGGAGGCAACTGCAAATAGCAAAAAGATCAGAACATGGGCAGGGTAGTCTAGCTGAAATTAAAACATATTTGGCTAGCACATTTCAAGTTTACAAAGAGATTTCAAACCCATTTTCTATGTGATTCTCAGAAAATCTCTGAGAAAAGGGCACTATTATTCCTATTATTTTGGGAGAAAACTGTGACTCTAAAAGTCTTCATTGATCACTGAAAGAATTAACAGTGAAACTCAGAGGACATATGTTTGAATTATAGAAACAAATACAAATTCCTGGGTATTAAATTAATATTTTTGTCCAAAGTTTGAAGAACTCGCTGATTTTCATTGATGAATCTTAAATTGTGCTTCTTCGGCAGTGTATTTTGTTTATTTTTAAAGAAAAACAGAGAACTTACAAGTAAACCACGTTTTCCAGTTCGACCAGGTGGTCCTATAGGACCCCGAGAACCCTAGAAGAAATTTTCACAAAAATTGGTATGTAAAAAAATATGCGTATACTATATAGATATAGGATTCACAAATATGTAAATTGTATATCTATGTGTATACTCTTATGGCTAATTGATTAAAATCAAGCTAATGTCCTTAGGTATACAATGACACTTACTTAGTCCATTTATTAATTGACTTCACTGAATGAAGATCACCTTAGTCGACTATGGTAGGACATTACTTGCTTAAATTTAACACAATGCATACTTACTACATTTCCTATACATCACAACATTTTTAGATGTTGAAACTCAAAACATCAGGATTTTTGAATATCTATTAGAAACCAAATGTTTTCCATTAAGATTTAAAAAATTAAATCATAATTGGCTGTCATTCTTTGTATAGAGTGCTTAATCAAGTGCACGTGTATGATTGTATGCAGGCGTACCTGTCGCTCACAATATGGCCTCCTGATATTTATAACTGTCAGTATGAAATTGACTCTCCTTACCGGATCTCCTCTTTGTCCTGCATCTCCTGGAGCACCGACAGGACCAGGAGTTCCAGGGGCACCCTGAGAGCCTGGCAGACCTGCAGGCCCAGGGTCTCCACGATCACCCTGATGAGAAGATCCATGGCATTATTCTTTCGATATTTATTCTAAAACAATGGAATTCTATATGCTCATGCTATTCATGAAAATAAAACATATACCTCTTTTAAAACTCATTTTTATTATTCAACTTACACTTTACTTAAATATTTTACTTACATTGACTTGTTAACCCCAATTTCAGATGTCCTCCCCCCCCTCACTCTCACCCTACTCCTCCTATAGTCAGGATTGCTGGAGCATAGCAGCGTCAGCTCTCGAATTTACGTGTTTCTTACACCAGCAGTCTTCAAGTGTATCCATTAACTTGGGGTAAACAGAGACTTTCCAGGGTGTGAAAGCTGAGAAAATTTTAAGGAAACCACTTTCTAGATTTTCATCTCCATAAGTGATATCTCAGAAAACTGATCTGAAGCATCCTTCCCTACTTCCTCTTTAATAATCACTCCTCTCCCATTTTATGAAAGAAAAAACAGACATTAATATCTGTCTGCAATCTTTTTATGATGCAATGCCCCCAAGGAGTAAACACCTCAGGGCACAAAACTAAAGACTTTTCCAGAATTCATAGTTCTCTTGAGAATAAAGCAGAGATATTTGGAAAGAAAGAGGATGTTGCTTATTTTATCCAGGTGACCCAACTATGACAAGGCTCCAAATCTTATTGTCTCCTTAAGAAAGTCAGAGATGAGATTATTATTATATAAACAATGTTATATCATAATTATTTGACTTGAAAAATGGAGTCAGACCTATTTTGCTGACAGAAATTAAGTCTTATTGGACTGATTAGTCTGGCAACCAGGATAAACCTTGGCCATTAGGTTAGAGAATGGACATATAATACATTGAATAAGCTAAATCGGCAAATACAAGATTTTGAAAAAAAATATACTAAAAGCACATAAACATTTAGAATTTACCAGGAATTACTCCTTTTGCAACTATTTAAATTTAGAATTAAAATAAAATGTGATTACAACTTAAATTGTGCATAGGGTTTCACAGACTATCGAAATTAAACCAGGGAATGCATCAGAAAAATCTTTGAAGATTATTGCACTGCATAATGTATACTGACCAAGGGGAAAACCCAGGTGCCAAGAGAATTTGCATTCTCTGGCTTTATGGTAGATGAGGGGAGGGGCTTACTCCAAGAGTCCTCAAAGCTCCATACTCTAAACATGTTATTTAAAGCACAAATGTCCAGTGGAATAGGTATTGATCATATTTAAAGCATTTGAAAACTGACGTTCCAAAGATTTGTTCAAGACCTCATTGCCAGTAACTTAAGGAATTAAGATTCTACTTGAGGTCTGACTGCAGAGCCCATTCTGCTACATGATGAGCTCTCAGAATGAAAAGAGCCGTTGTGTCATAATATATGTTAGAGGAGGGATTGGAACTTCAAATAAAGTTGGTGATATTTTCAGTTCAGCAGTCATGGGATTTCAAATACATCATGAGATATATAAATATTTAGGTAGCCACATGGTTTATTTCCTCATGGGGCATTCACTTTAGGAGATGAGTAGAGAAATTTAGATGTCACACAACTCTATTTCTGCTTCCATACTTTTGTGGATGAGTTTGCAATTTAGACTACTTTATCTGTATCCTCATCCAGAACCTTCATGTTGTACCAACTATGAAAGCAATTTGCTTTCCCATAGTTAATAAGAAATGCCATCTCATTTTGCTGCATATTCAAATCTCATTTCATTTACAAGATCTATCTAAATTATGACATTAAAAAAAAGTAGCTACTATCAGAAAAATCAGGGCTGCCCCGAAGCTATGAAAGAAAAGGCAGATTTTACTCTTTAGTATTACAAAAATTTTAAAAATACATGACTGCAGATTTTCTAATTAGTGAAAATGCCCTTACACGTTCTCCAACAGCACCATCCCGTCCCGGAGTGCCATCATTACCAGCTGGACCCTATAAAGAATCATATTTAAAAAATGAGTTAACTGAGTAATGCAAAAAAATAATAATAATAATAATAACCCACCAATTCCAATTGCCAGAAAAATTACAGCATGTTTTCCACTTCTCTTCTATAAACTATAAATTAGCACTTATGGAAATTTTAGTCAAAGAAAGTCTTCTGACATCTTTTCTATTACTTGAAATTGCTTGTAAAATTATTAACACATTCTTACTTTTTTGTGCCAACTTTAATACAGTTTTATTGAAGACATTGCATTTTCCACTTACAATACAGTGCTTATAAAGTGTAATGTTATTACCTTCCCTGTGCACATATTCCATATTGAAGCATGAAGAATGCCCAGTTATTTACCATGGCAGCTAAACTTTAAAACTACCATGGAATTTGCTACAAATTTGGGTCCTTCAGTGTCTTGTGTGGAACAATACTTAATCTATGCTCAGGTTGGCTTAATGATCTTCTTCAATAGTGGGGCTAGAGGGGGGAGTGCCAGATGGAGGGAGGAACTCTACCAGCAGGAACCACCCACCCCCTCCAGACACTCCTGGCATGCCTCCTGCACTTAATCTAAATTCTTGATTTCTATTTTTTATTTTAAAACAGGGCAAGGGGGATCCTCAAATCCTTTGAAATACATAGGCAACAATTACATTCTTGCCATTTTATGTTTTGTCTGTATTACCAGTGAATGGTTTTCCTTACTTTCATATCTTAAGTTTATCCAAACAATACCCTTAGAGTTTTAAAATAAAACAACTATGTTTAGACATTAAATAACTTGGTGAAATATATGTTCTTTATTATTTTTTTTTCAGAATTCTGTTTTTATCATTTGACCAAAAACTGCTCTGAAAGGCATTGACTTTTTCAAGACAATGTGACACTGTCCAGGAATGGACTTATTAAAGCACTGTACAGAGGGGATTCCAACCTATAACTTCTCAAATCACCTTTCAAAAATTGATTTCCTCTCAAATGACACTTAGGGATCAGGACATGCATCATGTTACTTTAGAATGATAATTAAATAAAATTCTCTTACTTCTCTGTTTTTGCAAGCTGCAATAGTTATATTAATCCTATCACCACAGAACTTGGCAATTTTGACAAATATGCCGTTATAGAATGAAATAACAAGGAAAAAGACTAATGGACATGTCCTTTCCCCTTCAAAATAGTTTGGTAACAGCCTAAATCAACTAAAATACTTGGCTCTAGACTAGATGAAGGGTCAGTGCAAAGTACCAGTCGTATTACCTTCTGTTTTTGTTATCATTTAGTCTACTTTCCTGGGAAATAAAGGACATCAAATAACAACACTAAGAAACTTCCTTCACATCACATGTGCAATCAATTTCTAAATTTCTAAAATGATTTCTAAAACAAACAAACAAACAAACACACAAAAAACTGTCCCCATGACACCCAGATAAGGAGAGGAGAGTTATTTTCATTGCAGCACTCACTTCTGGTCCAGGTTCCCCTACGGGGCCATTTGAGCCTGGGGGTCCCACAGGTCCAGGTGGACCTTTATCTCCGGGTGCACCAGTAGGTCCTACTTTTCCTGGTGTGCCCTGAAATCAAAGTATAAACATGTCAATGGCTTCTGAATAAATGTAAAAATGCCAGTTCACACAAAGGCTGTGTTTTTTTTCAAATGGCACTTCAGTCCCTCCTTCTCCACAATGATTGTCCATTATCCCACAACATCCACGTCATTGTAGTACCTCCTTAGAGGCATGCTCGCTTATTATCACAGTCATTGTGACATATCCCAGCGACTAAAAAGCATCCTTTGCCATCAGTTCAGGTGTGTGGTTTGGATTCAGATGTGTTATATAGTCAGTTCTGGCTGCTCTAAAGGAATCTGCATTGCTGGTAAGACATGCTCATCCACATTCACTTCCACTTTGTTTACTCACTTTATTTCTGTATCCTGGCACTTTGACCTCACTATGGGGAGATTTTACTTCTGGGCTTGGCTCACTTCTTTTTTTTTTTTTTTTTTTTTTTTTTTTTTTTTTTTTTTTTTTTTTGAGGGAGAGAGAGAGGGAACGAGCTGCGGAGGGGCATAGGGAGAGGGAGAGAGAGAATCTTAAGCAGGCTCCACGCACAGCGTAGAGCCTGACTCCGGGCTTGATCTCACAACCTGAGATCATGATCTGAGCCATAATCAAAAGTCAGACAACTTTTTTTCTTTTTTTCTTTTTTCTTTTTAGAGAGAGAGCACATATGTGCATGAGTAGGGTGGCGGGCAGAGAGAGAGAGAGGGAGAGGGAGAGACAGAATCCCAAGCAGGCTCCATACTGTCAGCTCAGAGCCCAACACAGACTTGATCTCACCAACCATGAGATCATGACCTGAGCCGAAATCAAGAGTCAGAAGCTTAACCAACTAAGCCACCCAGGCGCCCCTCCTTGGCTTACTTCTGAAACAAAAAAATATCCCCTAACTCCTAGTTTGCTGGATTCAGACCTCTATCCACATTCCCCCAGTTCCAAGGTCCCAGCAGTACATCTCCCTGTCTACATTCCATATAAAAACATTATTTCTTTTCCACAAGCATGTAAACTTTCAGCAGTAAAATTTAGTTTCTTCAAAGCTAACAGTGAGGCAAACTTTTATCCACATCCCAGGGAATATGAAGTTCTTAGCACCCTCCAGGGAAGAGGAGATTACTTTCAGAGTCCAACTTTATAGCTCACCCCACTTTCACCTCCAATATTACGTTAGCTCAACTACTCTTCCCTTTGATGATTTATGAAAACTTACCCTCTGAACTGTGAAGTATGAATGTTTTTGTCAGGCATGTTTATTTAAAAAGCAGCTACCTACTCACCAGAGGAGATTATCCCCCTTCTTTAGCTCCGTGGATATTTTTAATCTTTGAAGAAAGCTTTAGAGTCATCAAAAATCCAGATCCTTATTTGTCTACTTCTCTAGTCCCAGGGTTAAGTAAATATATTTTTCAAAATTGTTGTGAGGTACTTAAGTAAAGAATTTGACATTCAAAGTCAAAGGTTTTTAAGATAGTCAGAATTTGTGTCTAAAAAAGACTTTAAATCTACTAAGCACACACTCACACCGATAAATTCTCTCTTCACAAATTATATAATCAGATAAAATATTGACCAACACGACCACTCACCGCTGGGCCTGGCAGGCCAGGCATGCCTCGCTCTCCACGCTGCCCTGGCATTCCGACAATTCCTCTTTGCCCAGTAGTTCCGGCTGGACCAGGGGGACCATCCGGACCCTAATTGTGAGGATAAACTATAATTAGAAATTCTCTGGGACTTCGTAATAGATCACGGCTTTATAAATTTTTCAGTAGAAGAAAAAAATTCTGTTTCATAAAACCATATGATACATGAGTAGTCCTAATTTATACTTCACACAGAGTCTCTAACATTGTTTCAAGGTGAAAATGGCTCATTAGTTGCAAAGAAACATGAAGAGTGATGTGAATATTAATGGAATAAAAGATGCTATTCACGCAAATATTCTTCCTCTTTTTAAAAAGATAAAGAAAATTTAAAAAATAAAATAAATAATGACCTATCTAAACACATTAGTGTTGAGACATATAGATATTAAATAAAATAATGTACTCTTTAAAAGTTTATTTATTTTTGACAGAGAGAGAGACACAGAGAGACAGACAGAGAGAGTGCACAGCACGTGGGGGAGGGGCAGAGAGAGACAGAATCCCAGGCAGGCTCCACATTGCCAGCACAGAGACCTATGTGGGGCTTGAACTCACAAACCATAAGATCATGACCCGAGCAGAAATCAAGAGTTGGATGCTTAACCGACTGAGCCACCAAGGTACCCCAAAATAATGTACTTTTTAAAAATTTACTTTATCCAGCTCAGATACTTAACAAAGAATGTTTTCTTGTTTGGTTTTTGAACACCACATCCATTACTGTTTTATTTTATACTTACACTTTTTTTCTAGAGCTGAGAATTGTAAATTAAAAACATATAGGGCATAAGGATTTATGAAAGGACTCAGGTTAATGTATAAACAGTTTCCTTGTGGCAGTGAATATTATGGATTTCTATTGTAAATATCTCTATTCGAGGTGGCCTCGAACAAAGATGCGAAACTTACAGGTTGCCCATCTTCTCCTGGATCCCCTTTGTCTCCTGGGCCACCAGGGGGACCTGCTGGTCCTCGATCTCCCACTCGCCCATGAGAGCCGGGGTCTCCACGAAGACCTGGGGGTCCCTCCTTCCCAGGTTCCCCTAAGGGCCCTGCAGGTCCTGGAGCTCCCTAGTATAAGACAGAAAGAAACCCGGGGGGGGGGGGGGGGGGGGGGGGGGGGGGGGGGCGACAGTGGAAGTCACATTAGAGGACTTGATGCTTGATGCAAAGGCCTCTCGGGTCCATTTTTCCTGTTAGATAATCAGTCATCCACTGGATTTAAATAAAATTAAACCAAACACAGCTGCAGATTCATTTCCCAGGATGAAATCTAAATTATTTGCAGACAATTACCTTTGAGTCAATACCAAAAGTGTGCTGAAATTGACTTTTCAAACTTCTTAAGGTTCTGCTCCATTAATAAATATATAACATTTAATTCTATCTGGCCTAATCTTATAATGAAAGAATATCATTTATTTAACTAAATTTCAGAGATGCCGCCTAATTTAAGGAAATGATTATTAGCACACCATACTGTTAGTATTTAGTACCCAAATGGAATAATGGTAAAACATTGGGGCTAAAAAGGACTTTTAAATGAGCTTTTCATTTAAAGATGATTAAAGATGAATTTACTTTGACAAGATACCAGTATGTATGAATTCTTAGGATAAGGGTTGTTTACATGGGTTAATCATTAAGAGATTAAATAAAAGAATGAAAAATAACTCAATATATATATATATATATATATTTCTATATAATGTGTACATATATGTGTGTTTGTGTGTATTATCGTGTGTGTGTGTGTGATGGCTTCACTACTAATGATCTGAATTACTGAAGTGACTTACAGGAGGGCCTGGAGGTCCAACTCTGCCGGCAGAACCAGGAAACCCTGTAGCACCCTAGAAATATAATATCATGTAAGAAATTTTAAAATAACTATTAATTACATATTCTTTCTGGGATCTAGTTTTTCACAGGGATACTTAGGCCTTTAGATTCCCTTTCTTGTTGTGAACAATAAATTTATTCTTGTATCCTATACAAGAATGGATCAGAATTAATCGGTTGGAAAGATGCTATTTTTCTCTTTCCACCTTCCATTTATCTTGAACGTATACAAATGTGCGCAAGACTAGAACTAGAATCACATTAATATTTTGCATAACAGAGTTCTGTAAAGCAATTCCCTGTTATTCATTACCTACGTCTTCAATAGGTAATATATTATTTATGTTACTTATGAGGTGGCTGGGTCTCCAAGATCATAAAACTAACTGTAACCCAGATCTCCATTTAAGTGCCCTTTCCATTACAGTTTGTTATCCAAGTAAAAATTTGTTGTTACAGCTTCAGATGAACTTTTATATGGTCACAAAGTGCCACGTATCTGTGACTAGCTGCGTGTAATTCCCAGAGCTTCAAAGCAACTTACAGGTGGACCCTGAGTTCCTCGACCACCTTTTAGTCCAGGAACACCATTAGGACCCTATATAGAAAGACAGAAACAAAAGATCATTATAGTAAAGCAAAATGGGCTAAACACAAAGTCTAAACATTGGGTACTTGACTCAAGTTTTTGGTTTTTATTTTTCTTTTAACTTACATGAGGGCCTGGGGATCCTGCTAGACCTTGTGGTCCAGGTGAGCCGGCATCTCCTTTCTGCCCTGGCTCTCCAGGTTCACCTTTTACTCCAGGCTGCCCATCAGGACCCTATATCAGTTGTATAAATAAGCAACTGATTATAATACTTGTAGACAAGTTATTTCACAGTAATTATTACTAACATATCACTTAACCTTATATTGTAAAATGGTGCTTTGTGATCGGTATTAAAGCACAGAAGGAAAAATGTCCTCGTGGGATCTTTGAAGACAGTCTGAAAAAATAAGTTATCCCACCACATTTTTATTAAAACAAATAAGTATAGAATTTTAAATAGTGCATTTTAGTGCCAGTCATGAAAAAAAAATGTATTGAAAATGAGAATATTGCCCAGAAACCTGTAAACTTCCCAGAATCTTTAATATATCTTCAGTACATATCACAATGATGATTAATTAAATCTATTGCTATAGCAAGAGGAGTGCCCACTGTAAATTAGAGATATTTGGAAATTATACCTGAGGTCCAGCAAAACCAACAGCCCCAGTTGGGCCATTTTCACCACGAGAACCCTAGGATAAGAGAAGTGTTATTGTCGTTTTCACACGTTATTCTAAATGGGAACAGTATTTAAAAATATAATTATATAAACTTGTAGGATCTTGAAATGTATATGTAGATGAATTAGACTTATTTCTTAAGGAAGGCTTTTTTTTTTTTAATTTTTTTTCAACGTTTTTATTTATTTTTGGGACAGAGAGAGACAGAGCATGAACGGGGGAGGGGCAGAGAGAGAGGGAGACACAGAATCGGAAACAGGCTCCAGGCTCCGAGCCATCAGCCCAGAGCCTGACACGGGGCTCGAACTCACGGACCGCGAGATCATGACCTGGCTGAAGTCGGACACTTAACCGACTGTGCCACCCAGGCGCCCCTTAAGGAAGACTTTTAAGGGTGAGATAGAGATAAGGGCCATATAGCAAAATTTCCAATGTCTGAAGTCTCAAAAAAGCTTAATATTTGGTAAATGAACTGCTTAGTTGGATTTAATAGATTGCATAAAAATTACAGACTGTTAAGTTTTTGAGTCTCCTGTAAACACTGAAAACTAGGAAGTTCTAAGTAGCCTGACCCAACAAGCAAGGTTTTATATAAACATCAATACAAAATGATGAATTGTTTTTCTGCTTAACCCCATTCTAAAGAACATCAAAATACTGTCACTTACAGGATTGCCACGGGAGCCGGGAGGCCCAACTAAACCTCGAGGGCCAGGTTCACCCTAGAAAGCAGATGTCAGATGGTTATGGTCCAAAGCAGGAACAAAACATAATACACCTGGGGGAAGCTGAGCCCTGTGTGTAGGGCAGACATTGGGGGAGAACTCTGAGATGATCTGGCCCAACTACTACATATTAGGAAAGAGAAAACATTATGAGAAAGAGCTATCATCCAAACTCCATGATTCTGAGTCCACAAAATACCAATTTATGATACTACCTTTTCTCCAGTGGGACCTGCAGGACCTGGAGGGCCCAAGGGACCTGGAAGACCCTGTCAATGAATAGAACATAGGCATGTTGAGGAAAAGAATGCACGGAATTTCCCACGATTATACAAACATTCAAAGAAGGTATTATTTTGTGATTGCTTTAGTTGCCTTTGCAAAACATTGTCTATAACAAGTGATATAATCTGTATATTGTTAAGATTTTTCTAGTTACTCTAAAACAACTTCTGGAATTTTCTCCACAAAGTGTCTTAATCTCTTTCATCCATACATAATACAATACTGTGTTCAAACATTAGCTCTAAATTAATGTTATTTTTCCACAATATTTCTACGTTTCTTAGCCTATTTAATATTGAAATTTGCGAATAGATTGAAAAAAAAACTTTTCTTCTTTTGTATAGGATACTATATTCTTAAACTATACAAACAAAATATCACTCTATTTTATTTTTTTAAGTGAAATTCTGATAAAGCATTGAGTTTTCTACACTCTCGTAAGATCACAAGGAGTGTAACTACCCAGCCAAACTGAGGCTGAGTCCTTTAGGCTCAGAGCTTAGGGCGCTATCACATGGGGGTTCAAACCACGTCTTCTTGGTATGTGGTCACAATCTTTAAACTGCTTGACTGTATTGGAGGCTTTTCTAAAATGGGTTTTCTATGTGATATTTGTGCATTGCCTCTACATATGCAGCCTAAATATTCTTTTGTCTTTTAATTTTTGTATGTATTATGGAAGAAATTTAAAAAACAAAAAAATTACTTCATGTTTTTATGCTCTTATAAGGACAGAAGAAAACTGTGATCACATGTTCTCTAGATCTATAATGGAACAATAATCTTTCAATAATCTCCCTAATCTATTTCCTTAAAGAATTGGATTAAATATGAGGATCACTTCATTAAATTCACGTTTTTTTTTCGTGCAGAGAAAGCATGTTATTCATTTTTCCCCTTTACTATGAGATTACAATAAATGGTCTGCTCTGCTTCCTCCCTAAAGCAATGTATTGTCATTACTAAAAATAAACCAGTCATTGCTTAAGTCCTGTTCCTATCACACTGCATTTTCAAAGTTAGTTCATAGAAACAATAGATATGTATTTCAGAATTCACCTTAAAATACAGTCAATGCAACATGCCTTCAAACAGTACTGCACTACTTTACTGTGCACTATAGACCATCTATGACATAAAATACAAACAATATGCCAGATTTACCTAGACCATTTTTGAAATATGAAGTTAAACATTAGAGTTAACTAAAAGGGAAGAAATATCTCGTGTTCATAATTCTCTAAATTAAGCGTGTCACGCTGAAGTAGGTATTTAGAAAAAGAAAAAAGGGTTAATTACCGCTAAGACTAAAACTTGTCTGTATTTTACTTTTTTTTTATTAAAAGCTAATGTAAACAATGTATTAACAGTGGCTCAATGTGCAGCATCAATATGTTAATAATGGTTCGATGTGAGCTCTTTCTGTGTGACACAACTGCTCTTGCCAGGGCACAGCGTGACAACTAATAGCAAACCATGTCATCAAATATCAGGAATTACTCCAGGGACTGTTGAATGTCTGAGCTCTATCTTACATGAGAGAATCATGTCATTAATATCTAAAAAATCATATTCAGTCTGTCCTGAGAATTGCAAATGCATTCTATTTTTGAGGACCTAAAGCTTATTAAAGGTCATTTTCTCACATGACATTAAACAATGCCTTGGTATCAAACATCTTTCTTTACATTTCACTTCTTCATCCTCTTTATTGATGAAAGAATTAATTCATTGGGCAGTAATTTTCTAATCCTTAAATATACAGTATATCGGGAAATATTTATCTCAACTTGGCTGCTCTGCAAAACTCTAAGTGCCTGCCCTGGAATGAGGTCTAGAACAGCTCATTAGATCAACACTTTAACAAAAATAAACACTGCATGAGAAATAAAAAGATGATAGAAAAAGATAAAGAGGGCCCCCCTGCTTAAAGCACTGGTCTCAGATGCACAGGAAAATGTGTTTTATTTCATTCCCTCAACAACGACTGCTTTGTGGCTTGCTCTAATTCAAAGTAAGCAAAATGAGTATCCATGATTTTTCAACATCAAATCTCAAAATTCATCATTTTCCAAATCCTGACTATTATAGAAACACAATGAACTTTATTTTGGAGAGTTCAGGCAAATTCACATAATAACGATAATATTGATTCCTTGCTTAGCTGGGAAAGGAGAGATTTCACTTACTCTTGCTCCGTCATTTCCAGCTGTGCCTTCAGCACCCTTCTCTCCTATGCCACCCTGGGAAAACACACAAAACACCATTATTCATTTAATTGTCTTTTTTCTCTCATTTGCATGGATGCTTCATGAGGGCAGGGGCTTACCCCTCCTGTTCATAGATAAATCCCCTTGAACCTAGAAAAGTGCCTGGCATTCTGCGTTCTGCATTCTGAAAGAAAGAAAGAAAGAAAGAAAGAAAGAAAGAAAGAAAGAAAGAAAGAAAGAAAGAAAGAAAGGAAGGAAGGAAGGAAGGAAGGAAGGAAGGAAGGAAGGAAGAAAGAAAGAAAGAAAGAAAGAAAGAAAGAAAGAAAGAAAGAAAGAAAGAAAGAAAGAAAGAAAAAAGAAAGAAAAGAAGGAAGGAAGACTGATTGACTTGTGACTCAGGATGGTAGAAGTAAAAGCCTGCCCAGGAAATCATTTTTAGTAGAAATGTAGAAAGTCTAAATGAATGAACTAAAAAAAACAGACTTACCCTGTCACCCTTGGGGCCAGGAGTTCCTGCGATTCCTCTTTCTCCTGGCATACCTTGAAGACCTGGTGGGCCTGTATCTCCAGGGGTCCCAGATGGTCCTGGACTGCCCTAAATAAACCAACAATAAGTGACCTCATCAATATAATATTAAAATTCAGCCACATTAAATTTCTCTTCTGGTAGGCCAAAAATAGTTGCATGTCAGCAATTTCATATGGTTCAACTTAGGCCTTACATTTTTCATTTGTGAAAATTGTCTCTGAAGTGATATTTTGAAATAAAAAAAAAGATTTTGCTGTTTTGATTTTTGGTTTATATATTCAAGTTTTTTCTTTGGGGAAATTGAGCATCGATTCAAATAAAAATAATGGTTGCCTTTCTTTTTCTTTTTTTGACAACATCATGGGGATCCTAATAAAGAATGAAGACATTACATTTAGAGAGTATTTCACTCTCTCTCTAATGAACCCATGATATTAAGCTTGCTTACAAGCTAATTCAGTGATTAAATTGAAGCAGATGCTATGTAATCACTCTGGACCTTGAAGATGATAAAGGATCTAATGTTATACGAACATGAAAAATTCTACTTTAATTGTTTACACTGAAGTTGTCTTCTTGTCTTCTACCAATCTTAATATGGCACCCAAACCAAATAGTACTGATTTTTGCCTTATGATGTATTCTACTTTCATAATTAAAATACAACATCCTTGCATATGATTAGTAAGCAGAACTATGGAACCTGAGACAGAAAAACAATGGAACACATAATTAGGAATACCTCTTAATAAATTATGCAATTTTCTATTTATTGCTTCTGCTTATTAATGGAAGTCACTAGTTAAAGTTACACAAACAAATATTAGGAATGGATTTCTAGATGAGAATGTATTACCATGTACACTAGACCATAATTTGCATCACAGAAAAGAGGCTTCTTTTCAACTGATTCTATAGCGCCAAGGAAAAAGCCTAGTAGATGTTCACTCAATATTTGTTGAAGAGGAAAATCATATCATCAAATTATGTTGGAACCATAAGGGAAACACATTCTAGTTCTGTCATGTGTTTACAGAGCAGTAATCTTGGGACATTTGGTCAGGGCCATACTTACTTTTGGGCCATCAGGGCCATGTCCTCCAGCCATTCCCTTCTCACCAGGGAGTCCGGTTATTCCTGGTTCTCCTCTTTCCCCTGGATTTCCGCGTTCTCCCTAGTGCAACATTGGGATGTCAGACAGTCTTAGCAACTGATCTGAAAGTAGGTTAAAAAGGTTTCTGGAAATCTGCAAAACTGCTTCTACTGGAGAAAAATTGAGAAATGAGCAACTATTGAGGCTCAATTTTCCTTTAAAAATTTTTTTAATGTGTATTTATTTTTAAATTTTTTTTTAACGTTTATTTATTTTTGAGACAGAGAGAGACAGAGCATGAATGGGGGAGGGACAGAGAGAGAGGGAGACACAGAATCGGAAGCAGGCTCCAGGCTCCGAGCCACCAGCCCAGAGCCCGACGCGGGGCTCGAACTCACGGACCGCGAGATCGTGACCTGAGCTGAAGTCAGACACTTAACCGACTGAGCCACCCAGGCGCCCCAAATGTATATTTATTTTTGAGAGAGAGAGGCTGAACACAAGCAGAGGAGGGGCAGAGAGAGATGAAGACAGAATTCAAAGCAGGATCCAGGCACCGAGCTGTTAGCACAGAGCCTGATGGTGGGGCTCGAATTCACGAACCATAAGATCATGACTTTCGCCGAAGTCAGATGCTTAACTGACTGAGCCACACAGGAGTCCCGGGGCTCAATCTTCTAATTTAGTGTTAAGAAATGAACCTGGAATAAGGATGTGCTAGTTTCACAGCACAAGATTTTCTCATAAGATTGATTTTCATCAGGTTAAAGAAACTGCATGCTTAAAATAAAGCCCAGTTTATGATGAAAGATGCTTTTTAAAACTAAAGCCAATGGAAACAAAGTTAACGACGAAGGAGAAAATACTTACTCTAGGTCCTAATGGGCCAACTGCTCCAGGATCTCCAGGAACACCCTATAAGATATAATTTTAAAAACCGGAAGAATTGCTTTGAGCTAAATTTTAGGTATTTATTACAAATCTTTCCATATCACATGCCTAATTTCTTTTAATTTAATATTAGAAGTTTTGACTAAGCCCATACATTAGATGGAAATATTTTTCTAAAAAAATGTTTATTACACTTGAACATTTGATTTTGGGCAATTAAACATGCAAAATATTATCTCAGAAATATAATGCATTGGTTTTTTTAGAGACAACAAAATATACAGTAATTTTATTTCCTAACATGAACAAATTTTAACAGATGAAACTGAAATAAAAAGCAATAAAGAGACTGATCTTTTAAACAGAACCAATTCAATTTAATAAATATTTTTTGACCATACACTATGGACAATGTACTGGTAACTGTGGGTTCAAATTAGTGCAGTCATGATATATTACAAGTTTCAGTTTGTTCTTAACTAAAGGAAATTTTGTCATGAAGTTCAAAACTTTTCTCTTTGATTGAAAATAATAACTAATGACAAGGAAAGATGTTGTGTAGAAAATCATGGTTGTCAAAGAGTGAGATGAAAAGTAATTTAGAAGTTGGGTTGGTTCTGAATGAAGTTTTAAGGATAATTTAATCAAATTATTTTTCTTTCATTTTCTTTTTTAGGTATGCTAATGAGTGATATATGGTTTAAAAGAAAATCTAAATATAAACAAATCTGAGGGTTCTTTCAATAATATTTTATCTCATAAGAAAAATATTTTATCTCATAGTTTAATCAGCTTTATGTGGTATTTTTTAGTGATATGTAGTTAATGGTACATCTTGCAATTACTAAATATAATATTGCTTACAATTATGTGGTAGATAGTGCACTATTCATAGTGTCTTGATTTATACCATTACACCCTGCAATATTTTGAATAGAGTACTTTTTGTCAAAGTAGCATATTTCTGGCAGTTTGGATGGTGACAGATAACTATGGTCACTACAACCTCTACCGTCTATGTTTATAAAATCACAAATGTTAATCTCAATATATTCAGTTATGTTTGCTTCCATCATAATCCTCCATCATGAGAAATTTTCATTTGTCTGCTAGAAGATTTCTCTTGGGCATATGGATATGTCTTAACTTTAGATAAGGCATCAGTGTCCACCTTCTGTCCCCAACCCAGGACCTTGCCAGGCAAAGTGAAACATGAAGAAGCGTAAGCTGTCCTTGGATGGTAACTTCGCATCCTCTGAAATGGAGGGCTGGCATTTCCTGTGCATTTAGCACCAGCACATAGGCTGGTAGCAGCCACACTAGAACGTCACTGCTACTACTGACTTAGGGACCTGCCTCTTATGTCAATTCCTCAAACTTTGCCTTTTCTAAAAACATGAAACAAAACAAAAACTGTATCAAGTGGGCCGCCAATCTGAAATGTATTGTTCTTCATGTGGTGTGGTCTTCATAAAACCCAAATCTAGTCGTACTACTCCCTACTTAAAAGCCTTTCATCATCTTCCATTAGAAGAATAAGAGCAAATAATATTCAAATTCAGACTTTCTATAATCTGGCTCCTGATTCACCCACCAGCCTCATCTCTACCTCAAGTTATACTCTGCATTCCTGACTTACCAAATTTATTCAGTGCCTTAATTTGATCAGCAAAACCTTTGCACCTGCTGTTCCCATTTCCCGGAGTATTTTATTACCTTCCCTTCTCCTCCCTTACCATCACTCATCCTTCAGATCTCATAAAATATATTACCTGGTCTGGGAGACTTTCCCTAAATCCCCAAGTCTGAATTAGGTGCACCCATACACACAGTGCCTCCCCAGAAACTCTATCTCATGTCCATCTTGTTCAACTGGTGGGGGCCAGGGATGATAAATATTTGTTGAAAGGTTAAGTGAATGAGTGAATCACTCACAGAAAAATAAATTAAACTGATGTCTTAATAAAATAATAGAAATAAAATGGTTAGTATCTGTTCATAACCATTTATAAAGCCTCCAGTAAAACTCTGTAGATATGACAAGACATAGACTTAGGGATTAAGAACAGTCTTGGGAAGCACACTACCAGGATTCAAATCATATCAGATGTGTCACTTTGGGAAAGTTACATAACATCTGTGTGCCTCATTTGCCTCATCTGAAAAATGGTTATAATAATTATATGGATACCTAGATATATAGGGTTGCTTTGAGGATTAAGAGAGAAGGCAAACCAGAACAGAACCTCAAATATAATAAGTGATATTATGAACCTACAATTTTTAGTATTGTTATTGTTACTATTACCTTAAAACTTACCTGATCACCTGGCTTTCCACCTTCCCCAGGAGGCCCTGGAGGACCAGGAAGCCCCTAAAAAAAGAAAAAAAAATTGTAGATTTGTAAAAGTTTAATAGGCCACTAGCATTAACAGGTTACCTTTTATATATCATGGAGTCTCCATGACTATACTTTCAAGCAAAATATATTGTTTAAACACAAGCAAAACAGAATGAGAAAACCATTATCTTCTATGATAATGCAGCAGCCAGTCAGCTTCTAGGTTTAGATTTTCATTTGCACACCACATAGCAAAAAAAAAAAAAAAAAAAAAAAAAAAAAAGAAAAAAAGAGCTAATACTCTAACAGGAGATTCTTAACATTGGTCCAGTTTTTATGGGTCAGAAAGCAATATTTTAGGCTGCTAGAATAATAATGACAATAATAATAATATTAAAAGTCATTCCTAAAAGGTTTTTTTTTGCCAAATTATGATTATCCATGCTATTAAATAATAAACAATTTCCCACACCATATATATTTAAATAAATCATGAAAATTTGTTCAAGAAAAATTTTAAGACATTTTGTCAATAAAACTAGATAAACCTTAAAACAGTTCAATAAAACTTCTTCAGGTATCAAAACACCTAAAAATTTTAATTTGTTAATAATTTTGGATTTTGATCCATTTTTCAGGGGAAATCTGTTCCTTCCCTTTGAACAAAAATGTTGGGTTTTATCCAAATCTTTATTTACTAAAAGAGGGATGACTTTTTAAAAAAATTGTGGAATTTCACATCATTTGATCATATCTTTTTATATTTAAAAAAATCAGTTTAATTAATGGTAGAAGACACGGAAAACTGAATTATTACATACCTGAAAGCCAGTGGGTCCTGGGGGTCCCTGTTCTCCTCTCTCCCCAGCTAGACCCTAAGTCATAAAGGAAAGAAAATCATGAAGAGAGCCAGATCTTAACACCTGCTTCCTGTTTATGTGACCCACTGGAAGTATTGATATTTGCTTTTTTTCCAATCACATGCTTTTCACTTTAGCCAGATTATAAACTAGCATTACAAATAGTTTAATGAGATTCTTTGAGGTCCCTGCTGGTAAGAAAATGTCTTCTAAAGCCAGAAAAGAGACTGAGGACATATGTTTATTTTTTGATCCAAACATAAAATTGTCTGGAACCAAACACAAACTTCTGAGGAAATTGGAGAAATTGAACATGGAAAAATTCATTACTTTCATACATCGAATAGAATTAGGTAATACAAGTGTCCCCTGCTTTTCCAAAGTTGGCATTATGTCACTTTGCTTTCATGAAAGACCTGTATTAGTACCTCTTTGTGCTAACTCAAAGGACTCTGAAGAGAATTTTTGCTTTTATGAGAAAAAGGCAAAAGGCATTCAGAGTTTGTTTTGCAGTGAGCTGTAATAGAGGCAGTGCACACCAAACTCTTTCTGGGGAACTAGACTTAGCATCTCAGCGTCATCTGTGTCTGTGAGCATCTGTGCTTTATCTGGATTTATTTTGCGCATCTGTTAGAGCAAGATATAGCCTAAGATATGTCTTTTTTTTTTTTTTTTTTTTTTTTTTTT